ATATCAAGATAAAGACTTCATAGAGAAGGTTGAGGAAATGATAAGATAAAACAGATTTGATTTGTTTTAGGAATTAAGATTTTTTTTTGAAGCAGAAAGGAAACTATAAAAAATTAAACTTAAAATTTAAATTAATGAGTGATAAAAGAAAACAAGACGCTCTTAATTTAATTAAAGAGGCTGAAGGACACGTTAAAACAAGTCTCTTTAAATGGAAACCAGATAACACTTCTGCTGCTTCTTGCTATGAAAAAGCATCCAATATTTTTAGAGGACTTCAAATGTTTTATGAGGCTGGTGAGAATTTTTGTAGAGCAGGAGAATGTTATCAAAGAGAACGATTACCACTTCCTGCAGCAAGAGATTTTGAAAACGCAAGTGATAATTATTTAAGAGCTGAAAAATGGAAGGATATGGTTTCTGCGGCTGACACTGCAAGTGAATTATATGCAGAGACAAATCAATCAGAACGCGTTCCACAATGTTTAATTAAGAAAGCAAATGGACTACAACACATTAATGGTGTTGAAGCTGTTAAAACTTATAAAAAAGCAATTGACCAATTTGTTGAAATAAAAAAGACAATGTTTATAGGTCAAAGCATCCAAAATGCTATTTCATTTGGAGTTAAAGCTAAATTATATAATGAAACTATTGACTTTCTTGATAGTGCTATTATTGCACATATGTCAATGAAACAAGAACATGAAGTGAATAGAGATAGATTATCTCAAATTTTGATTTACTTTATTAATAATAAACTTCAAGATGCATCAAATTTATTAGATGATAAATTAGAATGTTTCATTGGAAGTGATGAGCATATTTTTGCAGCAAGATTTATGGATGCATATGAAGGAGGCGATGTTGAGACTTTTGAAAAGTTAAAAAATGACTCATCATTTAGATTTTGTAATCAAGAAATTGTCTTTAAAGTAAAAGACATTAATATTCCAAAAGATATTGTAGAAGCTGCTGAAAAAGCTAAGAAAGAATCTCTTCCATCAGGTCCAATTCAATTCAACGAAGAATTTATGACACAAAAAGAAGTAACTAAAACAGATACTATTTCTACTACTCACATTAGTCAAGAGCAAATGAAAGCATTTGAGTCATTAACTTCTGGACTTCCAGTTGCAATGGGACAATGTGCAAATACAGTTAACTCACAAGAAATTCCAGAGATGAATGAAGAAGATATGAGTGCTTTATTATAATGGAACTAAAGATATTTGACAATAACACAAATCCAATTAACTTTAAATTCAATAAGTTCAAAACAATTATTGTTTTAGATATAACCAAAACAATGGAAATTAGTGTCAGTAACTTTCCAATTTCCTTTGATTTCTCTTAAAGTTAATACAACAAAGTTTTGATTTCTTTTTAATGCTCCAGCATTTATTATTGGAATTAATTCATGGTTTACAAGTCCTTGAGAGTCATGGGTATGTCCATGAAGTACACAAGTAAGTCTTCTTTTATATGCAGGATTTTCAATTAATTTTGATAAAGCAGCACTACCAGTTTGCATAACAGATTTATTGTGTGAGAATTTTAAAGCAGTATGAGAACAAGATGGTCCATTATGAGTAACAATAATTAAACTATCAGTTATCTTTGTTGTAGGAACACTACCATCTTCAGGCATAATTTCATTAAGATGTACTTTGTATTGTTCATCAGTTTCATAAGGATATCCAACCTTATGACAAATATGTTTATCATATTGTGGAACAGAACCTCCACATCCAACAACAACAAGGTTATCTTTTAAATGATAAGCACAACGATGAAGATTAATAGAATTTTCTGTTAATTGAACTGAGTGATGCATACTATTATGGAATAAAGTAGTTGGGTCATGATTACCTGGAACATAAAGAACAGTGGAACAAAGTTTTTCTAATTCTTTAATAATTTTTTTACAATCATCTATAGAACTAGCAACAATATCAGGTTTGTCTTGATTATGGACATTCATATTGGCAAAATCGCCACAAACAATTAGATAATCAACTTTAATATTATTAATCTTCCAATACTTTTCCATTCTTTCAACAAGATGCATATTTTGATGAATATCATTCACCACAGCAATCATTAATGGCTTTTGTGTTTCCATTTGAACAGAAGAGTCTTCTGTTTTATTTTTTTCTAGATGAAGATTAAATCCATTTGATTCTTTCTCATCTTCCTCAAATCAAAGAAAGTAAACATTTTACAGATCTCTCCTTTGTTCTAGGAAATAATCCTTTTATTTTACTTAATTTTGGACTATTAGTAAAATAAAGAAAAATACCCAAAAATACCCCTACGTGTAAGTTTTTTTCCTAAAATTGTGGTCTTTTTATATCTTACATAAATTTATTATCATATTCAGTGTTTTAATCTTTTGTTTTCTTATGGAAATCAATGGAACCAAATAAGTCCCAAAATGTTTAAAAAAAGGGAATAAAATAATAACAAGACAAAGACATGTAAGACAACGAATAAAACATATAACAGACAAACATCATATTACCAAACTAAGCAAAAAAAATTATTAAAATAAGTATTTTAAAATATAAAAATAATTTGTTAAGTTAAATATTTAATGTTTAATTTAAAGTCGATTATTACTTTTTTTAAAAATTTCATTTGAAGAAAGAAAAAAATATATATGTACAATCTAACCATTTCATAATGAATTTTTTGTTTGCAAAGATTACTCAAAAAATCCTTTTAATTGCAATTATTGGTGGTGGAGTACTTTATATTGTTTGTTAAAGTAATAATAAGGATAATATAATAACATAACCATATAGCCATTTGTATTTACAGTTTTGGTTTTGAATATATACTCTATTAATATGAGTGAAATATATAGTGATAAAATTGAAGTATATTATATAATAGCATTACTATCAATTATTTCAAGTTTATCGTGTATTGTAATAATTATTTTTTCAATGATAGTTTCAATAATTCAATTAATTAAAGGAAGTTTATGTAAAATAATAAATCATTTATTACTTTTTTTATTAGGAATTGTGATGGTAATTATTATTATTTCATTTATTGGATTATTCTTCACAAGTTTTGGATTTTTAAAGGGGTATGATATTATATTAACTGAACAAGAAAGAGGAATAATTGAAACAAAAGTTTGTTAAAAAGATTATAAAAAAATGAAATGAATAAAATAACATTTTAATAATATCTTAGCAATCATGTTGTTTTGAAGTATATTCAGAAAATGAACATATGATATATTCTGATAATTGTAAATGTCAATATTTTATACCAAAGCAAAATATTTTAGATTCAAAATGTTCACAATGTATGACTATTGTTGAATATGAAAAAAGTTCAAAAACTTTAATGGTACTTGGTGATATTTTTATTTTATTTAATATATTTTACTTAATATTATACTGTGCTTTATTCTTTTTATTGACTATCCCATACTTTAATAAATGGATTAAAAAACACACAAAATTTGAACATTTTTAATTAATTTTTATTATTGTTTAATTAACAGAATTTGTTTTTAAATTAATGAATTAAATTTGTCCTTCAAATGGCATAAAAAGATGCGAGTCAGAAACAGTTCTGACATTTCTTGGTCTACTAGTAACTTTTCCAAGACTAACTGACCTAGGTCTCATTTCATTTTTCTTATCAATTCTAAGTACTTTATCAAACCAATCTTTATTAACTGTTTTCATTGCTTTAATTTCTTTTTTTAAATCAAGAATTTGTTTTTTCTCTTTATATTCTTTTTCTGTTTTTTCTTTTAATAAATCAATTTTTGCTTTTAATTCTGCATCTGCTTGTTTCTCTTCTGGTTTTATATCTGTTTCTTCTTCTTCTTTAACTTCAACAACTAATTCTGAAAGTACAGTAACAATACTTTCCATTAATGTTGGTAATGAATAATTAAAACAGTCTAAGAAATCTGGGAAATTAAATGGATGATCAACATATTCAAATTGTTCAAAACATATATTTTCAGTATTAATTTTTAATACTGAGGCCTTATTTTGATAAGCATCACAATAATTTGGTGCAGAAAATACTGTAATACATGGAGGAAGATCAATATTTTGCATAAAATAATGTAATTTAAATCCATCTTCCATTACTTGATGTGCTCTAACTAAACAAATTAAATCATTTTTATTTAAAAAATTTAATAATCCTCTTAGTCCATACATAACTGATGTTTGTCTTAATGTATTATCAACAAAATCAGTATTTAACCATGCTTCTAATCTTCTTTTATCCATTGATTCTGGATGTGGTTGGTCTAATGGGTCAGACCATAATAAATCACACATAGCACCACTTGTAGGTGGTTCTTGAAATCTATTAATTTCATTATATTGTGATAATTTTTGAAGTTGAGGTGAAATACCTCCATGGGTACATAAAAATCTTCCTAATCCATTTCCTTCAATTAAAGCAGCTAATGGGAAACAATCAAAGAGAGAATGAATTTGATCAAGTAATTCAACTGAGTTATATTTATATTCACACTCAATATTAAATGTCATATTTTCTGTCATCATTCTACTTTCGTGATTTCCACGAAGTAAAAAGAATTTTTTTGGATTCATTAATTTTTGAGCTAAAAGATAAAAAAGGACTTCACAACCAAAATCTCCTCTATCAACATAATCACCCATAAACACATAACTACAATCTTCATTTTTTGTAATATCAAAAATAGTTAATAAATCATAAAATTGTCCATGAATATCTCCACATACATAAATAGGTGCTTGAAGAACTAATAAATTAGGTTCACCACTAAGAATTGTTTTTGCTCTTGAAATTAATTCTGTTGCACATTCTACTGTTAATTTACCTTCTCTTTGAAAATGGTTCTTTAATAATGTCAAATTAATACTACCATCTTGATTAAAGAGAACATTCTTTTGTAATAAACGAGTTTCAACATTATAGTGTGTGTCTATTGTTCGTTTTCCTAAATTAACTGGAGTATATTCTTGGTGTGTTTTTAAACTATAACCAATCAATATCTCATTTTAAAAATGTTAAATCTAATAAACTTACAAACAACTCACCATTCGCAGGAGTACAACTTGCTACACTTTCATACTTTTGTAATTTAGGACGTTCAAATTTTTTTACCTTTTGTTTATGAACTTCAATACCTTTCATTGATTTAGAACTGAATTTTTAATTATTAGGTTTTAATAATTGTAGCTAAAACTTTTAAATTAATTTTTTTTTAAAAAAATACACTTATGAAATAACAGTTTTTTAACTTCCTTTCAAAAACTTTTTTGAACTAATCTCTAAAAATATAAAAAAAGAAAATTTAAAAAACTTAAAACTTCATCGAGAAAAATTAAATCTTAAAAAGGAAAGTTAAAAAATGGAAATTGAACATACCATCAATGAAGTAGAATCTTGTCAAATACTTGCCTCAACTGATTATGACGCTGCTTATTCTAATCTTATTGCTATAGAAAAATATGCTAGAAATGAAGAAAAAACAGATTTATTACTTAAAGTTGTAGAAGGATTATTGTCAAATGCATGGAAATATAAAACAGTAGAAAGTGTTGTTGATGTTTTTAATTTTATTTTAGGAAGAAGAGCACAACAAAAAACAGCAATTACAAAAGCTGTTCAAATATGTTCAAGTTATATTCCTGAATTAAAGAATAAAAATGTTAAAGGTTATGAATTATTAGCAAAAACAATTTGTACACAAACTGAAGGAAAAGTTTTTGTTGATGTTTTAAGAGCACAAATAGTAAAAGACTTTGCATTATATCTTGAAGAGAATAAAAGATTAGATGAAGCAACTCAAATAATGCAAAGTATGCATATTGAAACATTTACCTCATTAGATAAAAAAGAAAGAATGGACTTTTTATTAGTTCAATTTAGAATTGCATTAGAATGTGAAGATTATTTAAGAGTATTATTATTATCAAATAAAGTTAATAGAACAACTATTCAAAGTGAAGGATTTGAAGAATTAAGATTAGAATTTTGTAGATTAATGATTCAATATAATATTCATGAAAATAATTATATTGAGAATTGTAGAATGATGTTAATGATTTATGATACATTAAAGTCTTTATCTTCTGAACTTAAAATGGAAATTAGTGAAAATAAATTTTTAAGAAAACAAGAGTATTGTTTAGATTCTTCACTTGCATTAAAATTATCTGTTATATTTTTAATTTGTGCTGATTTTATTCCTGAAAAAAAAGACTTATTAGTTAGATTAAAATCAATTCGTGAATTAGAAAATTTCCCTCCTTATCAAACTGCTGTTCAAATGTTCCTTACAGAAGAAGTTATTGATTCTAATAAATGGATTCCAGTATATGTTCAATTATATAATTCTGAATGTTTAAATCATCTTAACATTTCATCTGATGAAATTACTAATCATCTTAAATTACAAATTACTCAACATAATATTAGAATGATTGCCAAATATTATCATGATATTACTCTTTCTCGTTTCTCTCAACTTCTTGGTATTTCATTAGAAGAATTAGAAAAACAAATATGTGCCCTTGTTAATATGAAACAAATTTATGCTAAAATTAATAGACCTAAAGGAATTGTTTCTTTTGTTAAATCAAAAGATCCTAAAGAAGTTTTAGATATTTGGACAGAAGATATTAAACAATTACTTACGTTGGTTAATGATACATGTTTCCTTATTGAAACAGAAAAAATGGTCCATCAAAATTAATTTAAATCTTTTTTTTTTAAAGAACTTTTTAATTTAAAAGTAATAAACCTTCATTATGAGTACAACCGTTGTTTTAGATAATGAAATTCAAAGCACTTTGATTAATGGTAATTATTTGGAAATTCGTCCTCTTGGAGCGGGAAGAGAAGTTGGTAGGTCTTGTTTTATATTAAAATATATGGGCCATAATATTATGTTAGATTGTGGTGTTCATCCTGCAAAACCTCATGGAGAAGCAGCACTTCCTTTATTTGAACATGCAGATATTGACTCTATTGAATTATTATGTGTTACACATTATCATGTAGATCATTGTGCATCATTGCCATATCTTATATTAGAAAGACAATTTAAAGGAAAAGTGTTAATGACCCCTCCAACTAAAGAAATTTTTGGGGAGCTCTTTAAAGAATTTCATCAAATGTCATCAACAATACAACCACCAAAATCTGTTAATCCAAAGGAAGTAATGGATAGAATAGATACAATTAAATTTCATGAATTACAAGAATACAATGGAATGAAAATATGGTGTTTTAATGCTGGTCATATTCTTGGAGCTGCAATGTTTTGTATTGAAATTAATGGAGTAAAAATATTATATACTGGAGACTTTTCTGGAGAAACAGATAGGCATTTACAAGCTGCAGAAGTACCACCATTTCAAATAGATGTTATGATGTGTGAAAGTACGTATGGAATTATTGAACAAGAATCACGAATAGATCGTGAAAATGCATTTATTCGTCAAATTATCGAAATATTAAAACGAGGAGGAAAATGTTTAATTCCTGTATTTTCATTAGGAAGAGCTCAAGAATTTGAACTTATATTAGAAGAGTATTGGCAAAATCATAAAGATCTTTGGTCAGTTTCGATTTTTTTCTTTTCATCAATTGCAAAAAAATGTACAACGTATTTTGAAAAGTTTACATCATTTATGAATCAAGAATTAAGAAAGAAAACTAAACAAGCATTTGATTTTAAATTTATTAGAGAAGGTAGTTCTAGTGTTGATGATGGAGCTATTGATTATAAACCATGTGTAGTAATGGCATCTCCAGGAATGTTACAAGATGGTATATCTAGAAAGATATTTGAAAGATGGTGTACTGATAAAAAGAATGGAGTTATTATTCCTGGATATTGTGTTGAAGGAACTTTAGCAAAAGACTTAATTTTGGATAGTACAAAACCATTTATTAATTCAGAAGGAGATCAAGTTGTTCCAAAATGTTCAGTAACTGAAATAAGTTTTTGTGCTCATAGTGACTTTGCTCATACTCGTAAGTTTATTGGTAATGTTAAACCAAAACATCTTGTTCTTATTCATGGTGAAGGTAAATCAATGGAACAATTACATAATGCATTAAAAAAAGAATATCCTGAACTTAATATTTATATGCCTTGTAATACTCAACCAATTAAAATTCCTATTCAACCAAAACATGAAGTTAGATTATTAGGTGAAATTGCATCAAATATTTTAAAAATGGAAGAAGAAAAGAAAGAGAAAGAAATTATTTTTAATGCAGTTTATTTACAAAATACAAAAGATGTTGACACTGTTGTTGTAAAAGCAAAAGATGTTGAAAGGTTTTCTTCTTTCCACTCAAATGAAATTTATCAACACTTATATTTTCCTTGTTTAATACCACTTAAAGAAACAATAGATATTCTTAAAGGATTTTATCCTGAAACTATATTTAATGAAGAAAACAATACTGCCCAAATTAAAGGAATTCAAATTAAATATGAAAATAATGATCTTTGTATATCTTGGCAAAATGATATTATTACTGATATCTTAATTGATCACATCATTGTTCTATTACTCGAAATGGGTATTAGTGAAAAAAAAGACCGTCCAAGAAAAATTCCTCAACTTGAAGATGTTAGTCTTGATTTAGTACTTGATCTCTTATCAAATAAATTTGAATCTGCTATGGTTTTAAAAAATAAAGATGACGTCCAAAAAGCATATGACAATATTAATCAAATAAACAAAGATTTAATTTCAAAAAATGAAGTTAATGATGAACAACAGAAAGATGAAATTAAAAGTGAAGCTAAAGATGAACAACAAAAAGATGAAACCAAACAAGAGAGTCTTAAGGAAGTTGTTGAAAAAAAAATAGAAGAAGAATTTTGTATTAAGGAAAATGTACCTTATATTTTAGTCCATGAAAACTCAAATTATGTTTTAGTAGAATGGCCATCACTTACTCCTTTTGGATTCGACAAAGACTTATTAAAAAGGTTGAATAGTGTTTTACCAAAAATTTTGTTAACAATGAAAAACACATTTTAATTAAATTTGTTATTTCTATTTTCAATTAAATCTTTTTAAACTTTCTTTAAAACTAATATAAATATTCCATCATTAAGTTATGTAAAAAGTGAGTCATATTCTTTACTTTTATACCTTTTGTATCTTTCACTATTTTAAAATAATAGACTTAAAAAACATTTTTTTAACACTTTTTCTTTTTATTATTGTTTTATTGTTTTTCAATAAAAATGTTTATG